ACAGTTTAAATACGTGCCGTGTCTTCTCTCCATGAAACTCTAGACACTCAAATCTGTGTGAGAGAGAGAGACCAAAATACCTTTCTTTATCCACCGTTTTTTTTCTTTCAGACCATTCAAAATGGCGGCCAATGCCTCATTCGCCGCCGCATTATTCGTCGGAATCTCGTTTCTCTTCGCCGTCACGGCGGAGGATCCATACAGATTCTTTGAATGGAACATCACTTACGGTGATATCTACCCACTCGGTGTTCGCCAACAGGTAACGAATCTTGTATTATCAGTTTCATTTCCGGTTTGGTTTATAGATCCGGTTTTTTAAAATCTGAAGGATCTTGCGTGTTTTTTTTCCGGTTTAGGGTATTTTAATCAACGGGCAGTTTCCGGGACCGGATATTCACTCCGTTACTAATGATAATCTCATTATTAACGTCTATAATAGCCTCGACGAACCTTTTCTTCTTTCATGGTAAATATTTTTATTCGTAAACTAAATCAATTTTCAAGAAGACTAATCAATAATTATGATAGCATTGAATCGGGATAGATAGTAGTGGTTAGGCGTAGTAGTTAATTTTATTTTCTCGTGAATAGTATTTTTGGTTTTTTAAATAGTGAAATGTAAAGATAAAAACGTGCTTTAAAAAAAACAACGAGGTACGTAAAGGACGTTGTTTTGGCCGACCTCATGTCGGACTCGGTCCCAAAAAATAAAATTATTTTACCCGCGAAATATGATTAGTTTTAATTTTAAAAAAAATTAAATATGATTGATGAACATTTTTACATGTGTGGTCCACTTTACCAAATTATTAGCTGTAATCCTCCATTTGAATTTCATTTTTTGTGGTTGCACCCTTTTCAAGGGGTAAGATTAACAGTTCATAATACTTTTTGGGGTAAATTCTAATATTTTGAAAAATAAATGGAAGGAATGGGATTCAACAGAGGAGAAACTCGTTCGTCGACGGAGTGTACGGAACGACTTGCCCAATCCCGCCGGGAAAAAACTACACTTACATTATTCAGGTCAAAGATCAGATCGGAAGTTTCTACTACTTCCCTTCTCTCTCTTTCCACAAAGCCGCCGGTGGTTTTGGCGGAATCCGTATCCTCAGTCGCCCGAGGATCCCCGTTCCTTTCCCAGATCCCGCCGGAGATTACACCGTTCTCATCGGCGACTGGTACAAATCCAACCACACGGTAAATCGATTCTCATCGATCTCCATGTTTTCGTTGCTTTGTACTGTGTAGAAATGATAAGGATAACGATAGTGAGGTTTGATTCATTGTGTGTGATTTACCGGTGAAGTATTGATTGATTTTGATGCTTTGATTGTGTTTGAATTTCGGACGATTTGATGAATTCTCTGTATATAGATTTTGTTCGCTCGTTTTGGGTTTTTCAAATTTTTGTGTGTGCGTGTGTAGGATTTGAAGGCACAGCTTGATAGTGGTAGGAAGCTTCCTTTACCAGATGGTATACTCATCAATGGCCGTGGAAGTGGTGCTACACTCAATGTTGAACAAGGTTTTTTGTCTCTTTCTCTTCTTGATTTCTGTGATTAAGGGATTGATTACTCAACTCAAGAGTTTACTGATTAGCTTTATGATTTGAGTTCTTCTTCTTCTTCCTTAGGTAAGACATACAGGCTGAGAATATCCAATGTAGGGTTACAAGACTCCCTTAACTTCCGGATTCAAAACCACAAGATGAAGGTGGTCGAAGTCGAAGGGACACACACTCTTCCGACTACTTTCTCTTCGCTTGATGTTCATATTGGCCAGTCTTACTCGGTGCTTGTGACTGCGGACCAGCCTGCTCAGGATTATTACATTGTGGTCTCTTCTCGGTTTACATCGGTTGTCCTCACGACCACGGGTGTTCTCCGTTACAGTAATTCTGCTGGTGGTGTTTCTGGACCTATTCCAGGTGGACCTACCATACAGGTTGACTGGTCCTTGAACCAGGCTCGAGCCATCAGGTATCTTCTCCTCTTTGATTCACTGATGAATACTAACTGTGCTCGAGCCATTTGGCTCGTCACAATATGATAGAGATAGCTCCTGAGTAGATGTCCCTAAGATTATAGGTTCCAAATAGATCTCCTGTACATTCTTCTGGTAATGTAGAGAGTGTAATAGCTGATCCTTTAAAGTTACATAAAAGAAATAAAGCTTTTATTTTGGAATTTCTTTATGTGAAATAATAGTTTAATTTGGCTGTGTGATCTGATTTTTTTGGTTTTTGTCTGATTTTGTTGTGTTTGTGCCTTGTAGGACTAACCTTTCAGCGAGTGGACCAAGACCGAATCCACAAGGATCATACCACTACGGTATGATAAACACCACAAGAACGATCAGACTTGCTAGCTCTGCTGGTCAGGTCAATGGGAAGCAACGATACGCTGTGAACAGTGTATCATTTAACCCACCAGACACTCCTCTGAAAATCGCGGACTACTTCAAGATTGACGGTGTTTTCAGGGTTGGAAGCATACAGAGCCAACCCACTGGCGGAGGAATATACCTCGACACATCTGTTTTGCAAGTTGATTACAGAACCTTTGTGGAGATTGTTTTCGAAAACTCCGAGGATATTGTCCAGACCTGGCATCTTGATGGTTACTCTTTCTGGGTTGTTGGGTAAGTTTCTTTCTTACTTTTCAACCTCAAACATTCATGTTTTGTATCCACAACATCCACAAACAGTAAGCAAATAGTAACATTATTTGACCAAGGAAAATCCGATCACTATTAATCAACTGGGACTAAATATGGTCTTCTTATACAGAATGGATGGTGGGCAATGGAGTCCTGACAGTAGGAACGAGTACAATCTACGCGATGCAGTCGCACGCTGCACCGTTCAGGTAAACCACAGCAATAGCCATAATCTAATCATGTTTTTTGCCAAAGGAGAACCGTTGGATAAATATTCATCAACAGGTGTATCCGAGCTCATGGACGGCTATATACATAGCACTGGACAACGTAGGGATGTGGAACTTAAGATCCGAGTTCTGGGCAAGACAATACTTAGGACAACAGTTGTATTTACGTGTCTACACAGCCTCGACTTCTCTTAGAGATGAATACCCAATCCCCAAGAACGCTCTTCTCTGCGGAAGAGCTAGCGGTCGCAGTACCAGACCGCTTTGATCGGCCGGTT